TCCCAAGTAGCTGGGACCATAGGTGCCTGCCACAACACCCGGCTATTTTTTGGTTGCAGCTGTCATTGTTGTTTGGCGGGCCCAGGCTGGATTCGAACCCACCACCTTAGGTATATGTGGCTGGCGCCTTAGCCACTTGAGCCACAGGTGCCAAGCCAGTTTGTTTTCTTTTGAGAGTCTCATCATGTTGCCCTCAGTAGAGTGATGTGGCATCACAGCTCACAGCAACCTCAAACTCCTGGGTTCAAGCAATTCTCTTATCTCACACTCCCTAGTAGTTGGGACCACAGGCGGCCATCACAATGCCTGGCTGGTTTTTGTTGTTGTTGTCATTATTGTTTGGCAGGCCCTGGGCCGGGTTCGAACCCACCACCTCTGGTGTCTGTGGCTGGCGCCCTAGCCACTTAGCTATAGGCATGGAGCCTAGTGTGGTTTGTTCTCCTCCATGGTGTACTTGGTAGAGCCCTTCCATCTGGAGACTTAGCACCTTCTATTCTGGCAAAGTCTTTAAGAGATTGTGTCTTCGCTGGTTCCGTCCTCTGTGTTCTTTCTTCTCCCTTTCAGGAATCTCTTGTAGATGAATGTTAGACGTCCTCGTTTGGTACTCTAGTTTTCTTATTTTTTTTTCTTCCTTTTTCTTATTTCCCATCTCTGCCTTTCCGCTTCTACTTTCTGGTATAGTGTCCTTGTCCTTATCTACCCTACCCTACTATTGCCTTTTAAAATTTTGGCTGTCATATGTTTTTAATTTTTCCAATACCTCTTTTGTGTGTGGATAGCTTCTTTTCCCCCTTTTAATACCCCCCAGGTCTGGGTCACATATGCAGGATGTTATTTTATCTAAGGGTAATAGTTTCAGTTTCTTTACGTTCTTTTTGCTCCCTGCATTGTCTCCAATCCTTCCAATTTTTGTTTTTTCTTTCACTTGTTTGTTCATATCGAAGAGGAAAGTGCTAAAGAGTTCTGTGAGTCTGGGCAGGGCCTGTCAATCAGTGGGTTCACTGGGACTGTTTGGCTGGGGATCTGGGGACCCCCAAATGCCAGTGTTTCTGGGTGTTTTCTCTGGGGTCAGACTGCTTTTCTAGAAAATAACCTCCTGGCTGGGGGTAGGTGTGGTTGCTGGGAGGTCTGTTGTCCTTTAGTGTAGGGATTTCTCCCACTTTCTCTCTTCTCACTGTGGGACCTCCTACTCCACTGAATGGCCTTCCCGCCTGGAGCCTCTCCACAAACTAAACCTCTGGTCTCCTGCCGGGTGGGTGAGCAGTTGGTGTGGAGTCAGTCTCTTGTTAGCAGCTTAGTGAACTCCTGGCCTCAAGTGATCCTCCTTCCTTAGCCTCCCAAAGTGTTATAGGCATGAGCTACTGTGGATTAGCCCTGATTTTACTTATTCAAGTCTTTTCTCTCTCTCTCTCTCTCTTTTTTTTT